AAAAAAAAAAAAAAAAAAAAAAAAAAAAAATTAAAAAGATGCAGAGCCCTCCTGCCAGTTGCTTAATAAAGTTTTTGATGTTTATGCATTAAAATGCTAGAATAGTAGCAAGAACATTCAGTCTGTTACTGATATTTTAATACAACTTTTATTTTCATATTAATATTTACATAAGCAAATATTGCCCTTTGATGCATAAACACTGCAGCAGATTCTTTCAACTAGACCCTGGCTTGGCCATAATAATAAACATTAGACAGTGAGATCTGAATTTAAGATGCTCCTTGCCATCTTCATCTGAGAGGGGGTCATTCAGTAACATGTTATTTAGCATGCCAGTATGCTGGTGAAAAACACAGATGCTGCTGTTCTAATATTAACTCCAAAGTTTCTGAGACACTGAAGTATATCTTACTGTCTCAAGCTTTCAAACTTGGTAGTTCTGAGATGTATGATCTTCAAATCATTCCCAAATTAACCAGGTTTCATTCTCCATGTGAGTCACGCTTGAGAAATATTCTGGGTACTATCTGATGGCTACCTCATATCATACTCTGTTTAGTCATGTTGCTTCTTGTGTCTTTTAGTGGTTGGCAAGTTTTCATATGGCTCTGCTGTTCTTTGATCAGTTGCCCATAAAATCTTGAGTGCTTTCAATCTTAGTGTACTATTAATAAAATAAGCCAAAACAGGAGGTGGAACCAAACCAGGGAGGAAATACTAATCTTGGGTGTTAGCCTTAAGGTTCTATGCATTGCCTCCGAGGGTCTCTAACGTAAAAAGCAGAAGAAATCTGTGCTGTTCCACTGTCTGTGTTCTGGGCAGATAAGTTGAGGGCTGCAGAAATTATGCTGGTTCTTTTCCATTCTCTCAGGGCCTCTTACAGTTAAACTTTGAATTTGAAAACAGACACCATCATGTGGCTATTTCAGGTACACTAGGAATCTCCACTGGGAAATACTGTTTTCCTCCTTAATTGAAAGATAAATTTAAGACGGAATAAAAACACAATGAATTATCATGTTTATTGAGTAATATAAATGTTTGAGGATCTGAAATAAGTGTCAGATGTAATGGAAATTTTTGCTTTACTCCAGTAAATCAGGAGGAAATTCATCATCCAGTTTGGGTGACATAGTACCTAGTTCCAGAAAATCGACACCTCCATCATCTGGTAAGTAGGTGATAAATGCCGAAACATTCATACTGCACTTCATGCCTTCCCCAGTCCTATCCAGTTTTGTGAATTTACATATACACTGAATCACTGTGTTAACCCTACAGAAGTTAGAAGGAATCAGAAGTAAGCATGCCCTTTTGGAGTTACAAACAATATGGGGAAATGTTTTTTTCTGGCTTGAAAAAAAAAAAGTATGTCAAAGTGTTTACATTGCTGTAGATGATCAAAGTGATTAATGTATTTAACTGTTTTTTGTTTGTTTGTTTTTGAGACAGAGTCTCGCTCTGTCACCCAGGCTGGAGTGCAGTGGCATGATCTTGGCTCACTGCACCTCTGCCTCCGGGGCTCAAGCAATCCTCCCGCCTCAGATTCCCAAGTAGCTAAGACTACATGTGCACACCACTACGCCCAGCTAATTTTTGTATTTTTTGTAGAGACGGAGTTTCATGGTGTTGCTCAGGCTGGTCTCGAACTCTTGAGTTCAAGCAATCTACCTGCTTCAGCCTCCCAAAGTGCTGGGTTTACAGGCACGAGCCACTGCACCAGCCATATTTAACCTTTAATCCCTAGTTCCTGTGATGGTGCTTTTTTATGGGCATTAAATGGTTGAATACTCGCCAACAACCATAGCACAGTGTGAGAGATGGCATTAACATTAAATAGAAAGAAGGATAAAAACTATAGAAAGGTGAAGAACAGAGAATAAAGTGAAGATCGAGGATTGGCCTGTCATGGCTCTGCCAGAAAGGTTCTGTGGAAGATACAGACAGGAAGTATAGAAAAAAGATGAAAATATTCACGGAAAGAGTAACTACTATTTTCTTCATTTTTACTTATTTTTAATTTTTGTATTTTTTGAGACAAAGTCTTGCTCTGTCACCAGGCTGGAGTGCAGTGGCGCGATCTTGGCTCACCGCAACCTCTGCCTCCTTGGTTCAAGCGATTCTCCTGCCTCAGCCTCCCGAGTAGCTGGGACTACAGGCACGCGCCACCATGCCCAGCTAATTTTTGTATTTTTAGTAGGGATGTGGTTTCACCGTGGTGGCCAGGATGGTCTCCATCTCCTGACCTTGTAATCGCCCACCTTGGCCTCCCAAAGTGCTGGGATTACAGGAGTGAGCCACTGTGCCCTGTTTTCTTTCCGAAGCAGTGGGTTCATCCTAATGGTTGCTTGATAAAATACAGCACACCCAGTTAAATATGAATTTCAGATATACAGTAATTTATTAGTTTAAGTATATATTACATGGGACAGACTTACACTAAAAATTTATGGAACATACTTATACTGAAACGTTTTAAATTCAAATTTAACTGTATTTATATTTGCTAAATCTGGAAACTCTCCTATTCTGTGAAGAACTTGGAATTCTATATAAACAGGAGACCAATGATTTGAGTGGCAAAAAGCCCATGATCAGTATCTTAGTTTGCTAAGAGAATTGTAATTGGGAATCAGAGTAGGATTGTACAGATTGGCTGCAAGGGCATTTCAGCAAAACAATACTGTGTGTGATTTCTAAAAGCTGGAAATGTGAAGAGATAAAAAGCAGAGAGTTGCACAACTGTGGCAAGATCAAGGAACTAGTGACACACGACTGATGTGCTTTAAGCACAAGATCTCCCTGTTACTAATAATCAGCTTCATTCCTGAATGTGGGGGCCTTTAGAGACCAACCAAGGACTCCTTAGCAAAAACTATAGGATTTTTCTTTTTTCTTTTCTTTTTTTTTTTTTTTTAGCAAAGGGGTCTCACTGTGTTGCCCAGGCTGGTCTTAAAACTCCTGGGTTCAAGGGTTCCTCCTCCTTAGCTTCCTAAACTGCTGGGATGACAGGCATGAACCACCATGCCCAGCCATCAGCAAACTAAGGTACTGATCATGGGCTTTTTTTTTTTTTTTTTTTTTGCAATTGAAACAATTGGTCTCCTGTTACATAGAATTCCAAGTTCTACAAAGAATATTGGACTTTTTAAGTAAGCAAAATCTGAGCACAACAAATGAACTGTTTTAGGGAGCAAATTAATTTCAGAAACTACCTACTTATAACTTGCAGCAAGCAATTCTAAGATGCTCAAAATTAAGTAAAAGAGTATGCATGACATGAAAATTAAGGCCCCTGTAGGTACTATGTGAAGCTCATACCTTCCCTTGGTAATTAAGGAGTCCCTGAATGCACAGGGGAAGGGAGGCCTATCCTGCTCCTTCTCAAATATGTGAAGTTGCAGGGATTACTATATAAACCTTATACTCTTCTTATATATCTTAAAGACGATTTCAGTGATTCCTAGGGACTGCTACTAGGCTCCTAAATGGAAAAAGTCTGTGTCATACTGCAATAAAGCAGCAGTTCTGCCTGCAAATGTCAGCCTCACTTCCTTCTATATACCAGAAACATTCTGCTATTCCCTCCAGCCATGTCGTAGCCCTCTAGCGGTTTTGGCAACACAGATACTCCTTAACTTATGATGGAGTTACACCCCCATAAACCCATCATAAATGGAAAATATCATAACTCAAAATGCACTTAACATGTGGACAGACACAGTAAGCAGTCATAAGTCGAACCATCATGAGTTCAGATGTTCCTTGACTTCCAATGAGGTTATGTCCTGAAAAATTCATAATAAACTTGAATAATCTTAAGTTGAACTATTGTATGTCAAGGACTGTCTGTATAATGAAAGGAGGCACATGCATTTTGAAAAACAAGTTAGTATATATGTAAAACAACACTGCCAGGCACCGTGGATCACGCCTGTAATCCCAGCACTCTGGGAGGCTGAGGCGGTGGATCATGAGGTCAGGAGTTCAAGACCAGCCTGGCCAATACGGTGAAACCCCATCTCGACTAAAAATATAAAAATTAGTCAGGGATGGTGGCGCTTGCTTGTAATCCCAGCTACTTGGGAGGCTGAGGCAGAAGAATCACTTGACCCCAGGAAGCGGAGGTTGCAGCAAGCCGAGATCGTGCCACTGCACTCCAGCGTGGTCAACAGAGTAAGACTTCGTCTCAAAAAAAAAAAAATTCCATTTTGTAGGCAGATGTTTGTCATTACCAAAAGTTTCATGAAGAGTTCAATACTTTAAAAGATGATTTACATGTTCACTGAGGTTTTGTACAGAACACCAACTTTTGAATGACTTTTGTGAATACCAAGAGTAGAACATACTTGTGACCGAGTTAGCTGGAGCTATAACCAACTACAAAATGCGTGTTAAGCATATCATGACTCTGAGATAATTTTCACATCAATGGCTCAGCTGATTGAAAGGAAAACTTCAGAAAGTTCTAGAGAGAAGCTCTCCCAATCCACCTCCAGGGACAACCGCTCAGCTATCAAGTGTGGATGGGCCTGGAATGATCATTTTCATCTTGTTTCCCAGAGGTCCCATCTACTACTGCGCTCACCCATTGCCAGACCAAAGAATATAAGTATCAGCTGGGCACAGTGGCTCATGCCTGTAATCCCAGCAGTTTGGGAGGCTGAGGCGGGCAGATCACAAGGTCAGGAGTTCAAAACCAGCCTGACCCGTATGGTAAAACCCCATCTCTAATAAAAATTTAAAAATTAGCCAGGAGTGGTGGCATGTGCCTGTGGTCCCAGCTGCTCAGGAGGCCAAGGCAGGAGAATCACTTGAACCCAGGAGGTGGAGGTTGTAGTGAGCCAAAATCGCGCCACTGCACTCTAGCCTGGGTGACAGAGCAAGACTGTCTCAAAACAAAAACAATATATAAGTATCTGCCTAAAGTATATATACCTGGATGCTCTCAAGAACTTGGAAAATTTTCCACTTGACTTCTGGGTCATGGGATCATGACTAGCTGCACAACACATACATCAAACCCACACACGTGTGTGTACATATGTCTCAACTCCAAGATCTGCTTAACTTAACCCAAGCTTTTAAGGTTAAACTAAAACTTAAATTTCAAAAAAAATTTTTGGGTGCTGTGGCTCATGCTAGTAATCCCAGCACTTTGGGAGGCTGAGGCAGGAGGATCACTTGAGCCTGGAAGTTCAAGACCAGCCTGAGCAACATAGTGAGACCACTTTTCTACACACACACACACACACACACACACACACACACACACACATTACTGGGTATGGTGGTATGCGCCTGTAGTCCCAGCTACTTGGGAGGCTGAGGTAGGAGGATCACTTGAGTCCCTGAGGTTGAGGCTGCAGTGAGCCATGATTATGTCACTACACTCCAGCCTGGGCAACAGAAGGAGACTGTCTCAAATAAATAAATAAATTGAAAAAAATGTTTCCAAGGCTCTCTATCAATAATAATAATATATACATGCTAGTGAGGAAGAATGAGACTTTTCAAATATATCAATGTAGCTCTTTCCAAGAAAATACTAATGTTTGCTAAAGTATGGAAATACAAGTATGAAATTTAAAAAGGGTAACATCTCTCATTAAAAGGAGAACCTTCTGAGTCCAATAAAATACATGTAGCTAAACAGATGTGAAAATGCTTCTTAACTGTCTTGATAAGTTTCTTTAATATGTTTTGGAAGTGACCATGTTTCAGAATTCTTTGTATTTCAGAATGAACACAGATGCTTTTAGACTTGAGTTAACCAAATGTCAGAACTAGTAAATTAGAAAGTTCTCAATTTGGGATTTCCAGCCCTCATGTCCAGATATAGGTAAATGTCAAGCCTGACTCAGGCTATGTGTGTGGAAAGTCAAACACCTGGGCAGTGTTGCAGCCAAAGATGTATGCATTTCCACTCATTCTTTCTTTCTTTTTTTGAGATGGAGTCTTACTGTCACCCAGGCTGGAGTGCAGTGGCATGATCTTGGCTCACTGCAACCTTCGCCTCCAGAGTTCAAGCAGTTTTCCCACCTCACCCTCCCAAGTAGCTGGGATTACAGGCACCAGCCACCACACCCAGCTAATTTTTATATTTTTAGTAGAGATGGGGTTTTACCATGTCGGCCAGGCTGGTCTCAAACTCCTGACCTCAGGTGACCTGCCTGCCTCGCCTCCCAAAGTAGTGGGATCACAAGGCATGAGCCACCATGCCCAGCCTCACTCTTTGTTTAAAAAACAAAATACATGTGATGATCTCAGCATGCTAGATTCAGTGGGCAAACCACAAAATCCAACTCATGAACTTGAACATCCCAGGGTCCTATAAATTCTGACATCCACCTGGTTATCTTCTTATTTTTCTTTTGCTTTTTTTAAAATTTTTTTAAATTTTTTTTGCTTTTGATTAAATGGAAGTTCAACTCCACCAACTGGGTATATTCAATTTCAGAAAAGCCCTCAAAGGGTAATGCCCCTTGAATGTGGTCTTTATAAGCCCAATAAAAGATCAGAAAGATAAAACATGTGGGAACTTACCACCAGAAAGGAAACTGACTTGATTTTAGTTAGCATGTATTGTAGGAGTAATGACATACTGACCCAGATCTTGCCCTTCATATCCAGGAAAGTGCTAACAACATGATTCTTGAGTTGAGAGCCGAGGAAAACCATCCCTGAAAGACTTTTGTGAGACTCTTTCCTGGTTTAAGCCATTCAATAAGCCCCATAAGGAAACTTTCCTGTATGAGCAAAGGGTTAGCTATAGGATGGTTATCAAAGTTAGCATTGCTTATAACCTTAGGCACATTGTACATTTTCCCTACACACCATATGTTAAACCTTTTAGAACATCAGTATGCATAGATGGGGCAAAGAGATAGACATACTTACTATGTAAGCCTACCTATTACTAGCTTCCTTTGATAGGAAATCCTACCTCCTGCATTATTCAAGCAATAGCTGATTCTTATAATACTGTACAAACAACAGCAGGAATTCACTCCATCACAGTGAAAAGAATAATTAAATAAGAGATCCTTGTTGGCCGGGCACGGTGGCTTACACCTGTAATTCCAACACTTTGGGTGGCTGAGATGGGTGGATCACGAGGTTGGGAGTTTGAGACCAGCCTGGCCAGCATGGCGAAACCCCATCTCTACTAAAAATACAAAAATTAGCAGGGCGTGGTGGCACATGCCTGTAATCCCAGCTCCTTGGGAGGCTGAGGCAGGAGAATCACTTGAACCCAGGAAGCAGAGATTGCAGTGAACCAAGATCGTGCCATTGCACTCCAGCCTGGGTGATGACAGCAAGACACTGTTTCAAAAAAAAAAAAAAAAAAAAAAATCCTAGTTTTCAAAAGGCTGGTTCATTTAATATCCATACCAAGATCAAAACTAAAAAATAATGTGATGCCTGTCACTCCTTTGAAAAGGTTAGAGGAAGCTGTTGTGAGCAGTTCAGCTTATATATCACAGGGAATGGTGGCTGTATTGTAACACCATGCTGTCTGTTATTTCAAAGTAGTAATTTGTTCCTTCCTTCAATCTAAACGTACTGTGGTTTTTGTTAGAGAGCTAACATGTATAATATGATGCTTTCCTGGAGTGAGTAAATTTTTTTCTTCTCCTTGACCAATTCTTAACCATAGAAAGATTTTCTAGCTAGCCCAACTCCACGATGTCATCTTGAATCCTGACACCAGGGACATGACCCTGTTCAAGAAGTGAAGGGAACGGAAAGAGGGTACCCAGATTGAGAAGGGACTTCACCGGGATGGGCAGTGTGGTATAGGGAGTGTTACAGACTCACATAGGCAGGTGGAGTCGGTCTGAATCCTGACTTTGCCAAGTTTTTGCCAAGATCAAGTCCTTTAAACTTTAAGTTTTTTAATCTTAAGAGCATTGAAGTTGATCTTTAAAATACTTCCAACTCTGATTCTGCAGTTGATAAAATTCTGTAGCTCTTTCAATTGTACTTGGAAGCGTTTTGTAAAATCTGAAGTGAGATTATGCATCTTTTTTTCTTGTAACACGTTTTAAGTCCTCTATTTTCAGGTGGAACAATGGGAAAAGTAAAAGCATGCCATGCAACAAAGCTAAACCCTTCGTTTTACAGATGAGGAAGCCAGCGCACATCCTCTGGGGTCCTTGTGCCCTTCCACTCTGCCGCTTCTGTTAAACCCAGTGGCTTTGCATAAGTCACCAGAAGTCTTTCAATGTCATTTTATTAGACTGATTTCATTCGGGTATCTTGGGACCCAGTGTTTTCCCATTAGTCTTCATCAGGCTTAAAATCATTTTAATCCTGTCCTTCCTGGAGCCGACCCTGAATCATTTGCCTTGTGTATGACTGGGTTGATAATTTTCCATTCTCTCTTTCTCTCAAATGTCTGTTGCAATTTTAGTGAAACTTTTCATACTGCCCTTATTTTTACATAAAATCAGCAAAAGGAGGCACATTGTATTATTGGTATAAATGTAATTGCGGTTTCGGACCATGGATTTTAAATCATAACTAGTCTGAAATACATCTTTATTAATCAAAATAGGGACCATTATAATGAACACATTTTTGCCAAAGAGAAATAAGTTTGTTTATTCCTATAGCATAAAAATCCATGCTTTGGGATTCGACAAACTCTTGGAAAGCATTTTCTGCATCCTGCTGATTGTGGAAGCATTTTCCCTGCAAAAAGTTGTTGAGCTGCTTGAAGAAGTGATAGTCAGTTGGAGAGGTGGGGTGAATATGGCAGATGAGGCAACACTTCATAGTCCAATTCATTCGACTTCTGAAGCACTGGTTCCATGATGTGTGGGCAGGCGTTGTTGTGGAGAAGAACTGGGCCCTTTCTGTTGACCAATGCTGGCTGCAGGAGCTGCAGTTTTCGGTGCATCTCATCAATCTGCTGAGCATACTTCTCAGATGGCATATTTTCGCTGAGATTCAGAGAACTGCAGTGGATCAGACCAGCAGCAGACCACCCAACAGTGACGGTGACCTTTTTTGGTGGAAGTTTGGCTTTGGGAGGTGCTCTGGAGCTCCTCAGTCCATCAGCTGAGCTGGTTGTCACCAGTTGTCCTATAAAATCCACTTTTCGTTGCACGTCACAATCTGATGGATAAATGGTTCATTGTTGTTACATAGAATAAGAGAAGACGACACTTCCAAACAATGATTTTTTTTTTATTCTCGCTCAGCTCATGAGGCGCCCACTTACTGAGCTTTTTCACCTTTCCAATTTGCTTCAAATGCTGAACCACCGTAGAACGGTCCACATTGAGTTCTTCAGCAACTTCTTGTGTAGTTGTAAGAGAATCAGCTTTGATGATGGCTCCCAAGTGGTCGTTGTCAACCTCCAGTGGCCAGCACGATGCTCCTCGTCTTCACGGCTCATCTCCTTTGCAAAACTTCTTGAACCACCACCGCACTGCACGTTCAGTAGCAGTTCCTGGGCCAAATGCGCTGCTGATGTTGCAAGTTGTGTCCACTGCTTTACAACCCATTTTGAACTCGAATAAGACAATCACTCAAATTTGCTTTTTGTCTAACATCATTTCCATAGTCTAAAATAAACAAACAGCAAGTAATATCATTAGCAAAAAAGCATAAAGTGTGAAATGCCCACTAAAACGACATATAACGTAACCACATTTTATTTAAGAATGTATTCTAATAGCAAACAGCTAATTCCAGCAATGCAAAAACTGCAATTACTTTTGCACTCACATATAATAAAAGTTTTCAAAGTAGTTGCTTGTTATCTCAAAGCTGGTTTAAGATATTATAAGACATGTAGTCAAATGTTCTGTGCTGCACTTTTATATGGTTGATACGGAGAATATCAAAATTACATTTGAAACTACAGATATAAAATGTTTCTCTGAAAATATTCAGTTCTAGCATGAAACTGATTAATTCAAGCAGATTATAAGGGATACGTGTCTTTCAGTTTTGTTAGATTTGATTACATTGCATTCTTAATATGCTTTACCTTTAAATTTTATTTTCTTTGCATACTATTTTAAGCATTCGTGATAGTTTTATTTATTTTTTTTTTTACTATGGTTTTATTTGCTTTCATTTTATTTTCTTTATAACCTATTTTTCCTCTCCTGTCCACCTGATGATTTTTGAATTGTTTGTCTGTATATAGCTGTAGACATAGATGCTACTGGCTTAGATGCAGAAGAAAATGATATTCCAGCAAACCACCGCTCCCCTAAACCCAGTGCAAACAGTGTAACGTCACCCCACTCCAAAGAGAAAAGAATGCCCTTCTTTAAGAAGGTAACATGAACTTCCGAGCTCCCATTGTCCACCTGCTGAAGCGCACTGTGTCACATTTCTAGTCCTGTTGACTGTCTGCGTCCTTTGACAAGCCAATAACGTGCATGCTCTGTTATTTGTTTCCTTTCCATGCTGCTGTAGCTAAGCAGAAGCAGAAATCGGTAAGTTTACATTGACATAAGCTGTGTTTATCCTGCCACTGGCATCATTAGCATTAATTCCCACAGTTGTATGAAATACAATCATTTCTGTCCCAAGCAAAGAACCTATCAACAGCTAATTGAGCTCATGCATTTCAAAGCAACTAAATTCAGGGAGTGACCTGTTAAAACACCATTACAGTACTTATCCTTTTTGATGGAATAATATCTACCACCAAAGGAATTTGTTTCAACATTCAAGGATGTCAAACACCGACAGCTCCATATAATGCACCTAAATTGTGCATGCTTATTCTGTCTTTCTTCCAGAAATTTAACTTATGATCAAGCATATTAAAGCAGTTATTAGATTCTGATTAATGGTATCCAGATACATAGCTTGTACTAAAAAAAAAAAAAAATTCAAGTTTTAATTTAGTCAGTATTTAAACTTCTAATCCACTAGGTGCAAAATCTGCAGATGAACAAGACCAGTGGAAAACTGCAGGCTTGTTTTGGCGGTTTACTGTGAGTTTTTCCTATTGTCATATATAAATATTCTCCCAATGTTCTTGCCTTCTCCATCAGTCAGATTTTAGCATCTCACCCATTGGACAGTGCAGCCGGTGGTCATGCGTAGAGCCTTTGCCATTGGCCACCCAAGATACTAGAGTGAGGTTCCTTGTCCCCTAAATGGAAACTGTAAGGTATTCTCAAGCTCTCGTCACTTCAGACAAAGCCTGTTTCCTCTTACCCATTTTGTAGCTGCGAAGCATTATTTTTTAAAGACCGCTACCATCCCCCACAAATTTCCCTTTTTTTTCTCCTCGTTTACCCATCAGTTTCCACAGCTACCATGCTGTCTTTTAGAGCCATACTAATGTTGCCAAGTCTGGCAAAATCATGGATATATTCTCACACACACATGTGAAGTCAAGTTTTTTCTCTACCCCCAAACTCTCCAAACAAGTATTTTGGTTTGTGGAGGAACTCTAAAGTCATTAATGAGGTGTCAGATACAGAACTGTAAAGTTGGGTTTTTTGCATCAGTCATGATTACTTTAGTAAGGGAAAACTTCAGCACTCTAGGCAAAAATTATAACACTTGGATTTTTGTGTTAACACAGAAAGCCTCAGCTTGATGTTCATCTACAACAGTGGGCCCATCTCTCAGGTCCGATCTTGTTATAGCTAAAGCTTGCGGCCAAGCGACTGACAGTATCCATCATTTAGAAGCTTAAAAAATAGACATCGCTAAGACATTCTGGACTTGACAGAGCAGGAACGTGAACTAAAGCCATATTTGTCAGGATAGGTTTTTGAAGTTTTCCTACCTTTAAACTTTCAAACTTTAAAAATGTTGATTACAGTTTTTTCACTAAATAATTCAAGTAGCCAGGGCGTGATGGCTCACACCTGTAATCCCAGCAGTTTGGGAGCCTGAGGCAGGTGGATCACCTGAAGTCAGGAGTTTGAGACCAGTCCGGCCAATATGGTGAAACGATGTCTCTGCTAAAAATACAAAACATTAGCCCAGCGTGGTGGCAGGCACCTGTAGTCCCCGCTACTTGGGAGATTGAGACAGAAGAATTGCTTGAACCTGGAAGGTGGAGACTGCAGTGAGCCAAGATAGTACCACTGCACTCCAGCCTGGGCAACAGAGCTGATGACTCTGTCCCAGAAAAAAAAAAAATAGGATTAACAGGAAAGAGTAGATAAAAATGATGGTGTCATTCTCCTTAGAGCACAAAGCACCAATATTCCATCAAATAAGGTAATTTCTGTAGCTACCCCATTGATTAAGAAGCTGATTCATTACCAGCAATGGGTGACCCTTTGCTAGTTGGCAGTTATAGATCAAAGGAGCCAAAGACCTATCAAACACTGGGCCACTTCAGAATTAAAGTCTTGAGGTGAAATTTCTTGGTAGCTGTTACTAAAATGCAGGAAATTTACATTACTAATTTCAACAGTGGAAAAGATGTTCTTACACTGCATAGTTATAAGGACTTGGCTTCTAAACATTTTCAGTATGATCCCAGGTGGTATACATGAAATAATTTAAGAAATATGCTTATGATGCCTTCGGCACTGGTATTCATTCTTCTTATGTTATTGATAATGTGGTTAACGTCAATGTAGAATTCAAAGACGAAACAACCTGAGATTCAATGAGAAGACTGTTTTCTGTGTTTTAGGTTGCATTTAGAGCGGTGCTTGTGTGGCATGTGTGCTGTCACTGTATTATGTTTGTCTTTTTTTTTTTTTTTTCCGTTCAAAAATGTATTCTACTTTGATTGTGTCAATTAAAATTACTTCTGAATGCTAGGTGAAATTTTAGGCAGTGAAATTTGACAGCACAGTCAGGGTAATATTTTTCTCCCCTCTGATTATATTGTCTCTGACTACTCGTGAAATCTCAGATGGAAGCTTTTGAATTTGAAATGCTTTTTAATTTCCCCCTGAGGCAATCCGAGTTCAAGTGAAGCCAGAAAAGTTTGTAATGGGCAATTTTAAGCAACAATAAAATGTTCTTGAGTGACGGGCAGATGCAAAAATGACATTCATATTTGCCTATCAGTGTATCGAATTCTTAAAATTGTTTAAAGAACATTTTTCTGTTGGTGTGTGTGATTCTCACGTTATATTTTTTGACACTCCTTAACCAGAAAGATTCATACGGCAATGATTTGCTTATCCCAGTGTCTAAGGCCATATTTCTCTTCTGCATTTTTTTTTAAAGAAGTCATTCTTGGGTCAGTTTAATATTTTATGTTATCAAAAGAGCCAATTTTAATATAAACCAATTAGCTGTTAACTATTACTTTGAAAAATGTTATTTAACCATTTTATTTGAAGCAATTAAGCTGAAAAGTGTTGATAGTTTTGGAAATTGCTACAAAATGTACCTCTTCCCCTATTCTTCTTAAAAAGAAATAAATAATTACAGAAAGACATCAATTAGTTATCTAACAGAAACACTACTTAAACTAATTTTGAGAATCATATTAGATATGTACACTGATAATGAACCTTCTGAGTCTACTATAGCATGGTTGAGTATATTATAATCACCTTCCCTTGAAGGCACATAAACCTTACCTTTGAAGTACCCAGGTAAAAAAACTAAAAAATCTGAAAGCATTAATCACTAAGCTGTGAGCAGTAATCTAGCAATCATGATTACGGTTTACTAGAATAAGCATGCATGCTCCTTTAAACTCTCACAATAAAATAGAATTTCGACAATAGTGAGAGTTACAATATTTTGAGATTAGGTAAAAAGTATTGGTAGTGAGCGTTAACATATTTTGAAATTAGGTTTTACACAGGTAAGACAAACACCTAACATGCAAAGGTGATGAAATCTTTCTTTTCTCTGTAATTAACCACATGAGGTCTAATGGTTACAGCTCTTTAGAAAATTCAAATGCGTCCGAAAAGCAATAATAACTTCTAGTCAAGCCTAGAGCACCTATCTTGCATGAGGCATGTTTCTCTTGGTTCTATCATCTAGTTGTTGTTCAAAAGCAGCATCTCTTGCTTTAGGAACTAATAGGTCAGTAGGATTTCTTGAGATAAGCAAGAAAACTGTAGACAACAGTAAGTGGAAACTTTAGGAAAGTGAACCCACCAATCTTTGTTTGAGTTTATGTAGAAAAGAGGCAAGTAGAAAAAAAAAAAAAAGTGCCTGGAAAACCAGTGCCTCATATTACAGAGTTCAGAAAGAGTACCTTATACATCAAGTATTTATGTTCCACCTGCCTGTGAAATGTCTAAAGCGTCTCCTCTCTCTGCAGACAGAGCACACTCCTCCGTATGATGTGGTACCTTCCATGCGGCCGGTGGTCCTGGTGGGCCCTTCTCTGAAGGGCTACGAGGTGAGGAGCTGCCTTCCACAGAACACTTGACTTCTGCATGCTGAACTCCCTTGTGACTCTGCCTCCTATTCCTGACCCTCTTTCTGAATTCTGCAGTTGAAAGAGCCAAATTTAGAGCTTAAAGAGCTGATAGCAGCAAAGCATGTTGTTCTTCAAGCTGTGGTCTACACTGCTTTGTCCTTTTTCTGTTTTGTTTACCTGGCTGTTACTTTGAAGATTTCTGCTAGTTGCAGTGTACTCAGTCCAAGAAATAGTGTCAAATGGAGACCGATTGAAACCACTTGCAATGTGATTTGCCACTAGAAATCATCATAAGTTCAGATCAATTGTCATTGCATCAGAACTCAGAAGCGGAAAAATGCAGCATCCTCACATACGAAGCTCAGGTTTTCAGGCATTCCTGAGAGAAGTGAAACTGTTTTATCATGATTAGTAATGTTTTTTGTCATATCTTAATTTATTCCTTGCTCAATTGCAGGTCACAGATATGATGCAAAAAGCGTTGTTTGATTTTTTAAAACACAGATTTGAAGGACGGTAAGTATTTCAGCATACTGGGTTGTGTGGATTTTGTCTTAAAGATGGCAAAATCCTGGTGGGACAGGCATGTGATTCCAAGAGAAAACCACCCTCTGATGTCTACATGATGATGGGAAATAAGTTTCCCTCAATTTAATCTGATTCAATCAGTATTTGTCTTATTGGCTTTGTACATCCCTAACCCTTGATGTCCAGTTCTTGTACCCATAAGCTGACCTTGGGCATGACTCCACTGGCCAGTCTCACCCTCAATTCATGGTCAACTGGCCCCCTACTGCTGCCCAGACATCGCACTAAATATCCCTCTTCCATTCACTTTTCCCCAAAGACTTGTGTGCCATCTCCCCCTCCTTTTTTTTTTCTTTTTTTTTTTTTTTTTTTTTTTTTGCTGTGGTTTTTTGAGACAGAGTCCGCTTTTGTTACCCAGGCTGGAGTGCAATGGCACGATCTCGGCTCACTGCAACCTCCGCCTCCTGGGTTCAAGCAATTCTCCTGCCTCAGCCTCCCGAGTAGCTGGGACTACAGGCGTGCGCCACCATGCCCAGCTAATGTTTTGTATTTTTAGTAGAGACGGGGTTTCACCATGTTGACCAGGATGGTCTCGATCTCTTGACCTCATGATCCACCCGCTTCGGCCTCCCAAAGTGCTGGGATTACAAGCGTGAGCCACCTCGCCCGGCCCATCGCCCCCTCCTTAAGCCTCTGATAACCCTCTCTCATCTCACGCTCCCCCAGTGAACTTGCTTCCCTTTGTCACTGGAAAAAATAGAGGCAAATGGAGAATACCCAGGCATTTCCATAACCCCGCCTGTGGAGCTGCGTGTTTGCCTGGTTGCTCTGCTTTATCTCCCATTGCTATGTTCCCAGCAAGGGCCAACCCACCCATGTGGGCACTGGCTCTCACTCCCCATCCCCGCTCTGCCAGAAGTATCCACACACAGCAGTAATTATCCTCTGCCCCCTCCTCATCAGTATTTGCCATTCTAATGGAAACTCCATCAGCATGTAAAAATGCTACTTCCCCTCATATGTCACCTCATATTCCTCTAGGTATCTCATTTATCTTTTCTTTACAAGAAGATTCCTTAAAACAATTGAGTTTACTTGCTTTCCTTCCACTTTCTGGAGCCCACCCCAGTTACGTTTTCACCCACACCACTCAACTAAACTAGTCATGTCAAGATCACCAATGACCTCCACATTGCTAATCCGGGGATAAATTTTCAGCTCCAATCTTACTTGACCATGAGCAATAGTTGACGTGGTAGATTATTCCATCTTCTCTGAAGAACTTTATTTGCTTGGTTTCTGGAAGCGCACTTTTCTGGTTTTCCTTCTATTACATGGACTGCTCCTTTGTCTCCTTTGCTGATTCTTCCTCATCAACTGGAAATCTTGGACAGCACAGGGCTAAGCTCTTTAATGTCTTTTATCTACATTCCTTAAGTAATTTCATTCAGTGTCAGATTTTTTAATTCTAGTCCTTTGCCAGTCTTTCCTCTAAATTCTAGACCCGTGTATCCAACTGCCTATTCAGTAACACTACTAAGATGTCTAATGGACTTTACCAACATAACCTCCCCCAAAACCTACTCCTCCCACGGTCTTCCCTATCTCAATTAATGGCTTCTTCGTCTTTCAGTCTGTATTTACAGCCACTCCTCATCACTCGCGTTAATGCCTGGGCTCAGCCTCTTGTCGGATCAGCAGTGGCATTAGATTCTCATAGGAGCACAAACCCTACTGTGAACTGTGCATACACATTATCTGGGTTACAAGCTCCTCATGAGAGTCTAAGGCCTGGTTATCTGTCACTGTCTCCCATTACCCCCAGCAGGGACCCTCTAGTTGCAGGAAAACAAGCTCCCACTGATTGTACATTATGGCGAGCTGTATAATAATTTCATTATATATTCCAGTGTCATAATAATAGAAACAACGTGCATAATAAGTGTAATGTGCTTGAATCATCCCAGAACCATCTCCCCACTCCCGCCGAACCGGTCCATGGAAAAATTGTCTTTCACAAGAGTGGTTCCCGGTGCCAAAACGGTTGGGGACTGCTGCAATAGATAGTATTTGTTGGTTTCAGGATTCTTTTAGATTTCTTAATATAGTACTTTGTTTCTAGACCACACCTATTACTACAACCATTTTTAATTTATATTGAATTTTAGCAGGGAGGCAAGGGCAGGAGGGAAACTTTGATAGGAGGACAAGTATTGTTAGTAAGTGATCAAGCAATCTGGGTGTGGTGGCTCATGCCTATAATTCCAGCACTTTGGGAGGGCAAGGTGAGCGGATCACGAGGTCAGGAGTTCGAGATCAGCCTGGCCAACATGGTGAAACCCTGTCTCTATTAAAAATAGCAAAATTAGCTGGGCATGGTGGTGGGCACCTATGGTTCCAGCAACTCAGAAGGCTGAGGCAGGAGAATCACTTGAACCCGGGAGGCAGAGGTTGCGGTGAGCCGAGATCCCACTGTACGCCAGCCTGGGCGACAGAGTGGGACTTGTCTCAAAAAAAAAAAAAAAAGAAAAAAAAATTAGTGATCAGGCAAAGGACTGAAAGGAGAGAATGAGAAAAACAAAAACTATTTTAAGTTTCAAGGTATGAAAAGACTTTATGATCAAGGTCTTTATAACCAAATACCCCTAGTTAGATTTTTTTAATTTTCTATAACTTTACAAAATATTTTTTAGTTTGTGCCAGGAAAACAGAATCTTTAGCTTGGACCAAGGCTCCTAGGCACTGGCCAAGTATAAAAGGCATACCTCTAATCTGCTCCATTTAGCTTGTGTTTTTTTATTCTTGGCTCTGTCATTTATCATGAGTTGGAATTGTGAACACTCAAAAAATTCTGCTAACAAAGGCACGGTGTTCTCCATGCCTGAGTTAACCCCTTTCCTAAATGCCAAATATGGGGAGATGGGATGGACTTTCCTGGATTACTACTTATATTTAAACCTGAGTCAGTTTTGAATTTGGAAGACATATTCCAGCCAGAAAGGGTGTATCTTGGACCCATGTTCAAGTGTATCTGCCACCCAAATTGGTTTTATTTAAGAAACAGATAAACAAAATAACTTAATGTATCTATTATTTCTAGCCAGAAGTAATTTCCTTATGGTTTAATACACTTGCCTTGGCTCATCTTGGCTTACAGAGCTGGGGTTCAATTTTCTAGACCTGTTGTCACCAATTAATAGTCCTCAGAGGAAGAAACAGAGTCCATAGGCAGAATTTAAAAGCCATGTACAAATTTAACACTTTTACCCATGGCAAGACATCTACAGTAACTGAATTATTGAATGTTTTTGCTTTTGGCAAGGCAAGACAGCAGTAGAAGATGAAAAGTCATCAAAAGCATCAGGTGTGTATGTACACATATTCTAAAAAAGAACAATGAATTAATTATTCCTTAATCATCTGTTAAATAAGCTAAATTTATTTTTCGAAAAGTTTAAGCCCAAGAGGAGAAAATATGAAAGGAAATGTTAGTTACGAAAAAGCTTCTAGGTAGTCAAGAATTCCTTTTCTTTTCTGAAACCCACTTAAATTCATTTGCAGAAGTACTGGGGGGGGGGGCTGTCAGAATCACGATTCTGGATGTTAAGTAGCATCAGTGTGTCAGATCAAAGAAATAAATCATCCTCCTCCTCCTGTTCTGTGCAATAAAGTAGCCCATTTAAAACTGGATTCACAGTACCCAATCGTGTCATGTAAAGAGAGCAATCTTCAGATTCACCTTGTAGAATGGTGACAGGTAAATTAACAAGGAAATTGAGAACAAGAAGGAAAGCTACTACCTGGGATAAATTCAGGTTGCTTCCTCCCTCTGCCCTCCCCACCCCACCCCGCCCTTCAGCGACTTTCAAAATGTCAGCAGTCAGTCCTGAAGTGTTTGGAACGCATATTGAATTGCTATAGGGATAAATATACCATTGCCAGAATCTTCTGCAGGACAATCTTATTAGAAATCAAAAATTCCTGGGCTGGGCGCAGTGGCTCACACCAGCACTTTGGGAGGCTGAAGCAGGCACATCACTTGATGCCAGGAGTTTAAGACAAGCCTGGCCAACATGGTGAAACCTGTCTCTACTAAAAGTACAAAAATTAGCTGGGCACAGTGGTGGGCACCTGTAATCCTAGCTACTCAGGAGGCTGAGGCAGGAGAATCGCCTGAACCCACGAGGCAGAGGTTGCAGTGAGCCAGGGTTATGCCACTGCACTGCAGCCTGGATGACAGAGTGAGAGAATCTGTCCATAAAAAAAAAATAAAAATAAAAAATAAAAAAATAAAAAAAGTAAGCAAATATAAGAAGTTGTTTATCTCATGGAAACTACTAGAAAAATATACCAGAAAAATACATTGGGCTGGATGCAGTGGTTCACACGTGTAGTCCCAGCACTTTAGGGGGACTGCTTGAGCTCAGAAGTTTGAGACCGGCCTGGGCAACATAGTGAGACCCTGTTTCTACTTAAAAAAAAAAAAATTAGCTGGTTGCGGTGGCATGCACCTGTCATCCCAGCTACTTGGGAGGCTGAGCCAGTGGGGATCACTTGAGCCTAGTAGGTTGATGCTGCAGTGAGCTATAATCACACCCCTGTACTCCAGCCTGGGTGACAGAATGAGACGATGTCTCCAAAAAAGAAAAAAAGCACATTATGTGACATAGTTCATTTGATGATTATGTACATAGTTACAATAAATATTAAACATGGGGCCAGCCAAAATTATAGTTTGTCTATCTGAATCTCTCTGGGATGTTCTAGCCTGCTGCAGTCTGGACCATTTGTGTGTTGGGTGTCATTCTGGAACATTCCTTGTTATTATCCCTGGGATTCTCTTCACCTTCCTTTCAGGCTGAAGCTCCTCTTTCCTAGAGGCTTTGATTTCTTTCAAGCTTTACTGTCATTTCAGTCAAAAAAACCTTCTCCAGTCATTTCCCTGGGAAGAGTATATACACTTTTTTCTCAATAGCCTGCATGTTTACAAACCTTTCTGTTTAATTGCTAGTTTAAATGGTTATGGAATTCTGATTGAAATAGTTTTCCCTCCAAATTTTAAAGGCTTTTTGCTCCATTATCTTCTGGCCTCCACTGTTGCTTTGAGAAGTACAAAGCATTCTAGTGCTTGATGCTTTGAGACATGTTTTTTCCTCCGAAAGCTTGTAGGTTTCTCTTTGTCCCCAGCGTGATGAAATTTATAAAAATATGTCTTGGTGTGGATCTTTCAACTCTTGTGCTAGACCTTTTCAGTTTGAAAAATTAGACCCTTAGTTCTGTGATGACTTCTTTATTTCCTCTCCTCTGTCTTCATCTTTTTCTGAACTCTTGTAATTTGGAATTTGGACCTCTTGTTATTCTCTACTTTTCTTACCTTTCTTATCTTCCAGCTGTCTTTTTTGTTGTATCCTTTAGAGATGTTACCTTTCTTTTAACCCTTCTCTTGATAAATTTTTAATTTCTATTATGTTTTTATTTTCAAAAGCTCTTATTTTTAAATAGAAATTTGTTCTAGTTTCATCGACAAAACCATCTCTTAGCTTTTAACTATGAATAATTTTCACAGTTGATTTTTGTTTGTTTTGGTCTGTCACGTTAGAGGTTTTCTGAAGATGCCTGACAAATAGTCCTGTGCTCAAAATTTAAAGTAAGGCAGAAAATAATTACTCAGAAGCTCTGTGCTCATAGGCGGGGGTTGTCAACTTTGTGCTTCTGTGAATGGCAATCTTGCTGGACAATTTACATAGGAAACCTCCAATATCATTATCTTTGGGTCTTTATGCTTTGGCAGTCAGATTCCCCAGAGACGAATCTTCCATTCTGACCCCTGAGGATATAAATATAAGCCAGGCTACCAAAATTCTACAATGAGGAAGAGGGTTGAAGATTCAGCATTCAGAATCTTTTCTTTTTCATCCAGTATTCTCTGCCCCTGGTGTGTCTAGGGTCCCCTGGTCAGAGGCCGTCTTGTATTGTCTGCAAGATAACAAACGAGGGTCTTTTACCACACAGGAAAAGAACTGTCACCTGGCCATTGACGTTGTGAAGCTGCAGTGGAGGGCTCTGATGGAAACAGACTTTTTAACCAAACCTTTTCTTTTTGCCCCACCTTCATTCACTACATTTTTTTTTTTTTTTTTTTTTTGAGACGGAGTTTCACTCTTGTTACCCAGGCTGGAGTGCAATGGCGCGATCTCGGCTCACCGCAACCTCTGCCTCCCGGGTTCAGGCAATTCTCCTGCCCCAGCCTCCTGAGTCGCTGGGATTACAGGCACGTGCCACCATGCCCAGCTGATTTTTTGTATTTTTAGTAGAGACGGGGTTTCACCATGTTGACCAGGATGGTCTCGATCTCTTGACCTCGTGATCCACCCGCCTCGGCCTCCCACAGTGCTGGGATTACAGGAGTGAGCCACCGCGCCCGGCCTCACTACCTTCTTTAGAGATATGGTGAGCCTTCAATTTTGCTTCACAGCTTTTTCCTACTGCTGACTTGAATATTCAGCTTTCTGCAGTCTAAGTGATTTGCTATTTCCAGCTCCCGAATTCTGTTGCTCTCCTTTCTCCCTTATCATCCGTCATAATCCCATTTGTTCTTTTCACAACAATCATCATCTTTAATTATTTTCTTTGATTATTTATCTCTGCCACTAGACCATGAGCTCACTGAGGAAAGACCAGTTCTTTCTTATTCTTCATGCCGATTACAGCACTGAACTATGGCGCAGAGGGTAGGAATGTAGGCTCAGGAGTCTGGGTTCAAATCCCAGCTCTACCACTTAGTAAGTACATAGCCTTGGATAACTAATCTCTCTGTGCATCTCATTCTTCATCAGCAAGAGTAGGATAATAAACATTTCTCCAAGAGCTGTTTGGATGATTTAGTAATTCAAATAAAGGGCTTAGTACTTATCTGATACTTGATAAGCAACCAGTAAATGCAAAGTAAGGCAGGTACAAGATAGGGCCAGCGCAGTGGCTCACACCTGTAATCCTGGCACTTTGGAAGGCCAAGGCAAGCGAATCACTTAAGGCCAGGAATCTGAGACCAGCCTGGCCAACATGGTGAAACCCCCTCTCTATTAGAAATACAAAAATTAGCTGGGTGTGGTGGCACACAACTGTAATCCCAGCTACTTGAGAGGCAGGAGAATTACTTGAACACTGGAGGCAGAGATTTCAGTGAGCCGATATCACGCCACGGCACTGCAGCATGGGCGACAGGGCGAGACTCCGTCTCAAAACAAACAAACAAAAAGCAAAGTAAGGCAGGTGCAAGATAAACAAAAATCAGTAAGTGAAAAGAAAGAATAAGTATCCTAACACATATGGTTTAAAAATATGGCTGCTATATATATTTCATACTTAGATGAATTTTGTGCATATACTTCTATCCCCTTTGATTAGATTAATAATGTTAGGGTCTTCTGTGACTTTTTTCTCTAACAGGATATCTATCACAAGGGTCACTGCTGACATCTCACTTGCCAAACGCTCAGTATTAAACAACCCCAGTAAGCACGCGATAATAGAAAGATCCAATACAAGGTCAAGCTTAGGTAAGTCTGTGCAGTGAGCTTAAACTTTTTAAACAGTCATCTCCTGAAGCTGACGATGAGAAGACCTAGCAAGATGGTAATTCCACGTGTCACAAAGTATTGAAAAACAGACGTGTGTTGCCAGTCGCTATTGCTGTGGTCTTAATGATTTCATGGTGTGGAAGGATTTGTTATGATAGTTTCAAGGTAAGAATCCCACAAGCTGTCAGCATTAATGTTTTGGTTCTCGTTTGTTTTCACTAATGTGAGCTTTGGTGCCTGCAGACTCTAAGATCTCCTGGCTTTGCATCAGTGTTACCATGAGCAAGTTTATTAACCTTTTGCAGGTTCTATTTCTTCATCTTAAAAAGGAAATAAAGTAACTACCTTACAGAGTTATTGCAAGGATTAAACATAATACATGCTCTGTAAATGATAGCCATTATTATTGTAAATATTCCTTAATTCCCAGTGCATATTAATAATGAAATCATACTCAGGAGAATGTAATTTGTGAGTGCGGAATCGGTAAAGGATAAAGTGAATCCCTGGCTATTTTTATTGATATCGATATGTTTATCTGTAAAAACAGCATAGGGAGTTATTGTGTTTACAAGGTGGTATGTGGATATTGCATATTAACGTGTACCGAATTGATCAAATTGAGACCCTTCAGCTGTTAATCTTTTTGGCACATGCTTAGAGTTTAGGTTAATCACTGCTACACATGTTGCTTACTGGATTGTTAGGTTTCTGTTTTTATAAAGTAAACTTTCTGCGAGTTGTGTCAGATCTTTTCTTTTATATATATATGTATATAATTCCACTTTAGGTTCTGGGGTACATGCGCAGAACATGCAGGATTGTTGCATAGGTACCTACATGGCAATGTGGTTTGCTGCCTCCATCCCGCCATCACCTATATCTGGCATTTCTCCCCATGTTATCCCTCCCCAACCTCCCTACCCCCGCTGTCCCTCCCCCAGGCCCCCTGACAGACCCCAGTGTGTGATGCTCCCCTCCCTGTGTCTATGTGTTCTCACTGTTCAACACCCGCCTATGAGTGAGAACATGTGGTGCTTGATTTTCTGTTCTTGTGTCAGTATGCTGAGAATGAAGGTTTCCAGATTCATCCATGTCCCTACAGATAACATAAACTCATCGTTTTTTAATGGCTGCATAGTATTTTTATTCTGTTTATATGTTAGATATACAAATCCTCGGAGGCTGGTTTCTAACGTAGAAGTTCTTCATTTACTCTGAAGCATGATTATATAAATAAAAGAAAAACTGTTACAAATAATAAACTTTATCTGTTAGCAATGAGCAAGATACATTATAGAACTCCTCACCTAACAACCCTTCATTGACAAAGCTTCAGTAACAGGTTTAGAAATATATTCGAGGAAAAAAATGTGATCACGTGTTTTGCTTATAGCAATTCCTTTTTATGTCCTTATCATCTGTCACAGTTAAAATTCTTTCCACACATCATCTGATGCTCACAAGCATTACTTTTTATTTTTATGTTTTTGAGAGAGGGTTTCACTCTGTCACCCAGGCTGGATTACAGTGGTGTGAATCATGCCTCACTGCACCTCGACCTCCTGGTCTCAATCAGTCCTCCCATCTCAGCCTCCTGAGTAGCTAGGACTACAGGCACATGCCACTACCCTGAGCTAATTTGTTGTAGAGATAGGGTCTCGCTATGTTGCCCAGACTGGTCTCAAACTACCATGTTCAAGCAATCCTCTTGCTCTGGCCTCCCAAAGTGCTGGGACTACAGGCATGAGCATTGCATCTGGCCAAAAATTATTATAGAATGCTCATTTCATAGATTGAACTGATTAACAAAGTCAAGTGATTTTTTAGACTCATCAGTGGAATTAATTACATAACAGATTTCCCTGGATCGACAAGATTTTTTTTGCAACTACTGATTATACATTGTTTTTAAATAAATCTTCCAGTGTATGTGTTTCATTGAGCATATACTAGATACCAAATATCAAGGTAGCAGGTGGATTTTTAACTGTGCAGGGGTGGGTTAGCACTGCCAACCCCTGCATTGTCAACTGTAGAGTCACAGAAAGTCTACCCATATGACCACCTTTAACATAATTACCTCTTAAAAGGGCCTATCCCCAAGTAGAGTTACATTCTGAAGTATTAGAGGGGTTGGGACTTAAACAAGTGAATTTTGGAAGTTGGAGATAATTTAGCTCATAGCACTCTTTCATTGAGTGCCTTCTGTGTGCCATGGAGCCTTTGCATCTTCTGTTCCCTCTTCTTAAATTATACTTCTCTCTCGTGTCATAGCACCTGCGACTCCTGGTGTAACTTAAAACTTAGCATTTTACATTTATTTAAGTGACTGCCTTATTGTCTGTAAACTCTGTGAGTTTTAGGATTGAATCTCTTGCTTCATCAGTCTCCTTGGTACCTACCATAGTGACTGGCATATACTAGACACTTGGTGAAATACTTACAGGATAAATGGGCAGTCACACCTTGACTCTGCCTTCCACCTTCCCGTACCACTCTGGGGTTTGTGACCTATGTTTATGCAATCTCAGAAACTGGCTTTGGACTCAGTATTTGTTATATATTACTGCAAATGACACTACTCAAGGAAAAACAATCTTGGACGGTGTCAGAACACCTGGTTTCTGGTATTTTATACCTTAGCAGGTGCCTGACTACATAGCCTTTCACATCTGGTGATTCTAGGATTTTTTACCATATGGTGATGGGCTTGCACTAGAAACGGCAAATATCTGTATCACTGCACTTCAGGGCAAGAAAGTTATTTTCTCTTGTTGTACACTTTTAAGTTGTATTTTTACAGACAGTAAGAATATTTTCAAGTTTTAAGGAAAGAGGTAGTATTGCTAGTATGTTGCCCCAGAAGAGGATAAAATGTTATTATAGTATCAACACTAAAATCCTTGCTTTTATTGAAGTCAGTTTTCTTGTCCTTTAAAAGCATTTCTGTGTCATATTTTTCTGTCTGCACAATAGCTGCGCATTTTAGGAGAGCCGATCACAAGGTCAGGAGATTAAGACCATCCTGGCCAACATGGTGAAACCCCGTCTCTACTAAAATACAAAAAAAAAACCTAGGTGGGCATGGTGGTGCACATCTGTAGTCCCAGCTACTCCGGAGGCTGAGGCAGGGGAATAGCTTGAATGCGGGAGGCAGAGGTTGCAGTGAGCCAAGATCACGCCACTGCACTCCATCCAGCTTGGCGAAAGAGCAAGACTCCATCTAAAAAAAAAAAAAGGGTTGACACTTCAGAGATCTAACTAACATTACATCAGTGATTATGTTTAGTATTCATGAGCAGCTGGAAAGTGAGTTGGAGGAAAGGTAAACAACTGGAGTTTGGGTACAGAAGGACCACTAAGAATGATTATTTTAAGCATTAATTATGAGTTGGAAGTTTAGTTAGCCCAAGGGTGGGTAGGGGTGAACAGGGGATGTTTATGCTAAAAGCACCATTTCTCTTATATAAATTTAGGAAAAAGTGTATTTGAAAAATTTACCTCAAATTTAATAGATGAGATCAATTACAACAGTTATTTTATTTTTTTACCAAACATCTTAGTCTTTTTGGGCTGCTTTAAGAAAATACTTTAGACTAGGTAACTTACAAACAACAGAAACATATTGCTCAGAGTTCTGGAGGCTGGGAAGTGCAAGATGAGGGCGCCAGCAGATTTGGTGTCTGGTGACAGCTTGCTTTCTGATTCACAGAGAGCGCCATCTTCCTGCATCCTCACATGCTGGAAGAGGCAAGCATGTTCCTTTGGGTCTCTTTTCTAAGGTTACTAATCCCATTCATAAGGGCTCCGCCCACATGACTTAATCACTTCCCAAAGGGCTCCACCTCTTAATATTATCACAATGAGATTAGATTTTAACATGTGATTTTGGGAGGAACATATTTGGAGTGCACTGCACCAAAACAGGAAGGATGAAGCACACTGAAGGTATAATGTGATAAGATAAAAATGTGCATTAAGCTTTTAGAAAACGTTAGTTATGTAAAAGAAAGTATAGAATGCTGTCTCTGGAGTTCACTATGCTAATGTATTATTGTATGGGAGGGAAAAACTAACCGTGGATAATTTGAAGCTTTAAGTACTCACATTTTGGGGGTGGTACAAAACTTCTTTGCACGTATGGATGGCTTCAAATAGGTTCATAAAAGTCCTGCCTTTTTCCTCAGTTGTAATATTGGTCAAGAATCATATTTAAAACATTTATAGTAGCATTATTTCTGCTTTTCAAAATTAGAGAATGCAAATGAACACTATTATGCTTTTAAAATAAAAATATTACTTAAACTAGTAGAAAGTATAGCGATACAGATATTTGCCAGTTTCTAGTTCAAGCCGATCACCAAATGGTAAAAAATCCGAAAACCACATGCGAAAGGCCGTGTAGTGAGGCACCTGCTAAGGTCTGAAATACTAAAAACCAGGTGTTCTGACTCAGTCCAAGATTGTTTTTCCCTGAGTGATGCCATTTGCAGTGATGTTGATTGCATTTACTTAAACATCTACCTTTCCTCAGGAAGAAAGCAAGCAGTTTATGGAGAATAAAGGGCTGATGAGAGCCGGTTTTATAAACAGCCTTGCAAATGACTGTAGAATTTATGAACTAGTCGATCTTTTGACTCTAATTTTTTCCTTTCTTTTGAGCCATCCATTATCAGGGTAGCTGTGCTGATCTTGAAACATTAGCACAATTCTTGTTATACTAAATTTCTATGATGGCCCAACTAAGGAAGTGTCTCCATTCAAAGGGAGTACTTCACTTCTACATAAATTTGGTTGTAACATGTATTTGTTTTGAAGACATGTTTAAATGACTCTTTTCTATAACAGCAGTTTTTTGCCATTGTTTATGGATTTTTTAAAAAGCCCCCTTGACTCATTCATTGATACATAGTTGGCACTTTTTGAGTGCCAACTATATATCAAGCACTGTGCTGAGGAGAACCAGAAATAATTTCATATTATGTCAAGCTTTCAGTCATTTCACTGCCTATTGGAAAAATTTTTAATTACATCACGGAAAGAGAGAGAGATAAGTATTAACAGAGATAGGTACAAAGCCATACTTGACATTTATTAAGTACAGATGCTTCTCAACTTATGATGGGGTTATGTCTCAGTAAAGCCATTGTTAAGTTGAACATATCATAAGCTGAAATGCATTTAATACACCCAGCCTATAAAACATCATAACTTAGCCTAGCCTACCTTGAAGATGCTCAGAACACTTACAGTAGCCTGCAGTTGGGCAAAGTTATCTAACACCAAGCCCATTTTATAATAAAGTGTAGAGTACCCTACATATTGAATACTAACAGTGAAAAACAATGGTTGTATGGTGCTCAAAGTTCAGTTCTTACTGTTTGTATATTGCTTTCATACCCTATAAAGTTCAAAAATTGTTAAGTGAAACCATTATAAGTCATGGACTGTCTCTACTTAGTGTCGGCCAAGTACGGTAATTACTGTAATAGAAGCATTGCGTGTTGATTCATTTAGTCCTCATTTTCATAATACAGATAAGAATACTTAGGTTCTAAGAGGTTCAGTATGTTACCCAGTGACCATACAGCTCAATGATGCGATGACACTTCATTTCTGCCCGTAAGCCACTTTGATGTATGGCACTGGGAACACAGAAGCAGAATTTACTGAGCCTGGGGAAAAGGTGGTTAGAGAAGGCTTTACAGATTCTTTTTGTAAGATAAGGCAGGCACTGGTCAAAATTAAGAGTTTTGTGTGTAGTAATTATGAAAATGGCATTGGAATTACATGTATGGCATTAAATAACTCATACTAGAGCTACCTCCAGGTCTTAGTAACTCCTGACAACTTAGGTGTCCCTCAACACTAGCCGCAATGAAAGTAACCATCTCCTCTCTGTTATTACGGTATTGTTTGATTACAGAAACCTCCTTCCCAACAAGTTAACTTGTTTTTTGTTGTTTCTAACTTAAGTTCATTATCACCGAGGAACTAAAGCTAGTACCCATCAGTTATTTTTCCTGATTCTCTTCCTCCTCCTACCCTCTGATAGGCCCCAGTGTGTGTTGTTCCCTTCTATGTGTCCATGTGTTCTCATCATTTAGCTCCCGCTACAAGTGAGAACACGTGGTATTTGGTTTTCTGTTCTTCCTGTGTTCATTTGCTATGGATAATGGCCTCCAGCTCTTTCCATGTCCCTGCAAAGGATTTGATCTTGTTCTTTTTTATGACTGCATGGTATTCCATGGTGTGTATGTACCACATTTTCTGTATCTTGATTCTACCCCTTTGCTATTGTGAATAGTAATGAAAATACAAACATGCGTGTATCTTTATAATAGAATGATTTATAGTCATTTGGGTATATATGCAGTAGTGGGATTGCTGGGTCAAATGGTATTCCTGTCTTTATGCCTTTCAGGGATTGCTACACTGTCTTCCACAATGGTTGAACTAATTTACATTCCCATCAATAGTGTATAAGCATTCCTTTTTCTCCGCAACCTCACCAGCATGTTATTTTTTGATTTTTTAATAATAGCTATTCTAACTGGTGGGAGATGGTATCTCATTATGGTTTGATTTGCATTTCTCTAATGATTAATGTTGTGGCTTCTGTTCTTTATCTTAGAGGAAACAATGATTGCTCCTGAAATTTATAGACATTAGAGGTATAAAGCATAGAAAGGCGTTATTCATTTTTCAGTTTAATTCAGTGGGATGTAGGGAGATGAAGAAGGCTTGCCCCATCTTCAAGTAGCTGAGCTGCATCCTTTCATTAGCTAGGACAACTAAAGAGAATTAAATTGACTTTCGGTTTCAGAAATGAACATCAGGGAATTTTTTGACATTTCTTTATTAAATTCTGAGCATGATATGTATGTAAGACTACCAGAAAGATCTTTATATATGTGTGTGTGTGTATGTGTATATATATATATATATATATATATATATATATACATATAAAATTATATATATATATATAATTATATATATATATATATTAAAACCCGTGTTAATATATTGACCTAATAGAAATAATATCCGTATATGTAATTTTTTAAATGTTATCCAGATTTCATACAGTGAGCATATATTACGGCCAGGTGCAGTGGCTCATGCCTATAATCCCAGCACTTTGGAAGGCTGAGGTGGACAGATCACTTGAGGTCAGGAGTTTGAGACCAGCCTGGCCAGCATAGTGGAACCCTTTTACTACTAAAAATACAAAAAATTAGCTGGGCCTGGTGGTGCATGCCTGTAATCCCAGCTACATGGGAGGCTGAGGTGAGAGAATCAGCTGAACCAGGGAGGCAGAGGAGGTTGCAGTGAGCCAGAGGAGGCTGCAGTGAGCCGAGACTGCACAGACGCACGCCAGCCTGGGAAACAGAGCGAGACTGTGTTTCAAGAAAAAAAAAAAAAAAACACGTATTAAACTTATAATCAATGAAAATATAGTGCTCAAACCTTTAAATGCAAGGAGTTACCCTGAAGGTGTGAGATGCTGTGACTGTGTAAACACATATTAACAGGTGAAACAAAGATGAAAATCTTTGTGATCTGATTTCTTTTTTTTTTTTTTTTTTTTTTGGGACGGAGTTTCGCTCTTGTTACCCAGGCAGGAGTGCAATGGTGCGATCCCGGCTCACCGCAACCTCCGCCTCCTGGGTTCAGGCAATTCTCCTGCCTCACTCAGCCTCCTGAGTAGCTGGGATTACAGGCATGCGCCACCATGCCCAGCTAATTTTTTGTATTTTTAGTAGAGATGGGGTTTCACCGTGTTGACCAGGATGGTCTCGATCTCTTGACCTCGTGATCCACTCGCCTCGGCCTCCCAAAGTGCTGGGATTACAGGCTTGAGCCACCGTGCCCGGCCCTGATTTCTTAATGCTTGCAATAAATATTAATTTAGGTTGGAACTTGAGTGGGCTCAGTGGCGCAACATGATTTTAAAGCTAGTAGGTCATGTAGTTTGGGCCCTGATTTTTTACAGATATCCAGGTAAACAAAAGGACTCAAGTCATAACATATTGTGAGGCAGATCACAATAGTGATCAGGGACTTGCCTTTTCTTGAATAATGTACGGGTTAAAATTATCTCTAGGAAGCTTCTGGCATGGATCCAACTACCTAAGAGGTATTAAAAGGTAATTGTAAGTCCACATTTGCTGGCATAAAAGTCTCATGGGATTCAATCTCCATGACTGCAGTGGGAAACACAATCTATGTATTATGCTGTATATGCTGCCTAGTAATAGTAGCTTCTGGCTATTTAAATTATTAAATTTTAAAAATGCAGTGGCTGTTCACACTAGCTTAGTAGCCACAAATGATTAGCTGCTGCCACACTGGACTACATATAGAGAATATTTCCCTCACTGCAGAAAATGGTGTCAGGCCTGTTTTTGACTCTTTGGAGATCACAGAGCAGTAGATGAACTGAATGTAATTTTCTTGGAGTTCAAGTAGAATTTTAAATGTGTGGTGATAAGTTTCTATAAATTTTATACTGTAGATTTCTGTAGTGCTGCCTCTGAAAACTGCCCTTTTACAACATGACTATTAAAGGGAATTCCTTTGGTTGGAAAATATGTGGTGTGTTTCTGGATAAGTTTTTTACTGGTGCCAATCATGTCTTTCTTATGTTGTATTTCAGCTTGTTAATAAACATATCTAGACAGCATACAGGTGACATGTAAACACAGTTCAGCCCATGCACTGAAAGGAAAACTTGTTTAACGGTTGCTAGGGCAAAGTGGTCTGCAATGAACACACGAAGATATTTCAGATATTTCACGGTTCTTACAACAGTTTTATGAAATTTTATAGAGTGGAAGCACAAAGAATGTCAGCAGAGAGCACTAAAAATTTCCATAATCCAAGTATTATACTAAAAGTAAACTCTGTAGCTGTCTGAGAGAAAAATTCCTTAAATCCTAATGTGTGGAAAAAGAGCCCTTTCCAAAAGGATAAATTATTGTTGTAATTTTTTATCAATTCTATTGCCTATAAGCATTAACATGGCTGACCTAGTCACCTTTCTGTGGAAGAAATAAGATACCATTTTACTTTATCTTAAAAATACTGCACTTTAAACTGTTTCGCCTTTTACAGCGGAAGTTCAGAGTGAAATTGAAAGGATTTTTGAACTTGCAAGAACATTGCAATTAGTGGTCCTTGATGCAGATACGATTAATCATCCAGCTCAACTTAGTAAAACTTCCTTGGCCCCTATTATCGTTTATGTAAAGATTTCTTCTCCTAAGGTAAGTAGGATTGCTACCGTTTGCTCTATAATCAAACTTCACTAAAATGCATTTTATGTTCTGCTGTCTATAATAAGGCTATTGTGATAGCCTTTATCATGTATATAGAATCTGAAGAGACATGGTAGTCAAGAATTTCTAAATTGATATAAACAAGGCATGGTTAGTTTCATGGCTTAGAACAGCCATTCTCAAAGTGTGGCCCATGGATCCCTGGAGGGTCTTGAGACACTTTTAGACTATCCATTTAGTCAAATGGACATGATACTACTAATACATTATTTGCCATGTTCACTGTTTTGACATATGCTTGGCTCATGCAAAAGCAATGGTGGGTAAAACTGCTGGCGTTTGAGCATGAATCAAGGCTGTGGTATCAAAGTACCAGCAGTTACTGTATTCATTACCACCATGCTTTCACAGTTCCATGAGGAAAAAGCCATTTTCACTTAAGAATGTCCTTATGAAGTAGTAAAGTTTATTACTTTTATTGAATCTTGACTTTTAATATTCAGTGTAATAAAGTACACACAAAGCTCTTGTTGCATACCAACAAATGTCAGAAGGAAAAGCGCTGGTGAACTAAACTAGCCATGTTTTTCATAGAATTTGTATCTGAAACAACAACTGACAGGCTATGCTTATTCAGACTTGGGTATAGCAGATTTTTCTCGGACAAAGCAAACCTGTCACTTGTTGCCAATGATAAAACTCAAGCTTTCTGACAACAATCAGAATTTTAGAAAACCTGTATGTACCTCTGAGAACTTGGAAGCTTCCCAATAATTATTTCTTTGATGAGACCAAGGATAGTACAGTGTTTCAGTACTGTATAATGAAATATGTCAACATTTGGAAGATCTGAAGTCAGTGAACCATTACTGTCTGTATGATCAATGAATAATGTTAATTTCAAGACAGACCAGGTGAATGTCATGGAGTAAGAAAATTTTACTGAGTAACTGGTCTTTAAGGAACTATCATTTGTTGAGTTTTGGTATAGTATCAAAGATGACTATCTGAAAAGGCTACTAAATTGTTTCTCCTTTTCTCAAAAATCTGTAGGAGGTTGGGTTTTCTTCACATATTTCAACCAAAGCAAAACATTGCAGCAGGTTGACTGTAGAAGCTTGGGAGATTTCAATTGTCTTCTATGAAGTCAGCCATTAGATTTGTCAAAAATGTAGCTATTTTTATAAAAAAAATTTAATAGTTTTCCATTTTAGCTAATTTAAAGAGGTTGTAAGACAAAACATTTGTGATCTGCTACCTTAGAAAAAAGAATGTGAGTGCTTCAAGCTTGCAACTGTGATTTATGTTAATTTTGCAGATACTCTTATAGCTCAATCTATTACAAGCCCCTTGGGTATATATACAAAGGCCCCAGAGAAAGAAGTCAATAATGTACCTTGTAGTTTACCTGCGTGTACTTATTACTCTGTTAAAAACTCATTATCTTTTACAGGTTTTACAAAGGTTAATAAAATCTCGAGGGAAATCTCAAGCTAAACACCTCAACGTCCAGATGGTAGCAGCTGATAAACTGGCTCAGTGTCCTCCAGTAAGTTATCTCTACATACAGCATAATCCAGTTACTGAGATCAGACCTGGCTTTTTTTTTTTTTTTTGAGGCAGGGTCTTGCTCTGTTGCCCATGTTGGGAGCAGAGTGCTGTGATCACAGCTCACTGCAGCCCTGAGCTCCTGGGCTCAAGTGACTGTTTTGCATCAGTCTTCCAAGTAGCTGAAACTATAGGTGCACGCCCCCATGGTCGGATAACTTTTTTTTTTTTCCTGTAGAGATGGGGTCTTGCTATGTTGCCCAGGCTGGTCTAGAACTCCTGGGCTGAAGCCATCCTCCTGTCTTGGCCTTCCAAGGATTATAGGCATAAGCCACCATGCCTGGCCAGACTGGCATTGTATTTTTAAAAAACAGTCAGTCAAACACCTGTCAGAGAAGAGAATCCTCATCACTTAAAGTGGTATTCATTCCAAAGTTAACCCTCCTCCCTCATTCCATGACCATGTGTTTTGAGCACAAATAATCCAAATGATGATCTTAGCTTACAAAAAGCTACAGTACATCCTGTAGTAACTTCACTTTGTTAATACCTAACATAAGATCATGGTTCCAAAAATTTGGCTTGTATGATAAGTCTATATGAAGTTGGTATATTACTCAGTTCCGATCATAGGGAGCAAGGTATCTGCTCTTAATAACTGAGACATTTAATCAATTTCTAAGCAATGAGTTACCTAGATTCTTTCTTACAGTCTATGCTTTACATACAATGCCTTGGGGCTACAGAGCTTTCGTAGGTTTACTTTTGGAGGTTGGGTCTTGCTCTGTTGCTTAGGCTGGAGTGCAGTGGCGGCCTCTCAGCTCACTGCTGCAACCTCTGCCTGCCGGGCTCAAGGAATCCTCCCACCTTGGCCCTCCAAGAAGCTGGGACTTCAGGTGCACGCCACCACGCCCCATTAAGTTTTGTATTTTTAGCAGAGACAGGGTTTCGCCATGTTGCCCAGGCTGGTCTCAAACTCCTGACCTCAAGCGATCTGCCCATCTCAGCCTCCCAGAGGGCTGGGATTAAAGGCATTAGCCATTGCGCCGGGCTTTCCCCCAGCCCCACTTGGTAAGCGCAGCTATTTCAGAGGCTATAAATATTTGATTGCTTAATATGTTAAAATTTGTGATGAATTCTAAAAAATATTTTGAAAAGCGACACATTTTTTTCTCTAGTGAACTAATTTGAATTTGGACAATGTCAGATTATCAATGGTTTCAGCTGCTCCTGCTCAATTTCACATCCTAATCTTATTAATTTCTAAATTCATATTTCATAATCTTGGGCTGGGCATAGTGGCTCATACCTGTAATCCCAGCACTGGGAGGCTGAGGCGGGCGAATCACTTGAGGCCAGGAGTTCAACACCAGCTTAGCCAACATGGCAAAACCCCATCTCTACTAAAAATACAAAAATTAGCTGGGCATGGTGGGAGGCACTTGTAACCCTAGCTACTCTAGAGGGTGACACACAAAAATTGCTTGAACCTGGAGGCCGAGGTTGCAGTGAGCCAAGATCAGGCCACTGCACTCCAGCCTGGGCAACAAAGGGAGACAACCATCTCAAAGATTTCATGATCTTGACGTCAAGAGTAGGCTTCTTCCTATTCTGCTCACGTCATTTTTCATTGAGGATAGAGAAATGTCCTTTACAACTGTTACCATTCTTGCCATTATTAAGCATTCATTCAGTGCCCTAAACAATGATTTGAGGTAGTCAGCCACTTGCTGACTAAATAAAAAGGAGACAGTAGGAGCCAGTGCAAAGGGGTGCAGCTCATGAGCCCCTCCCTCTTCTTATGGAGGTGGGAATGGGGTAAAAACTGGGCTGGCGTCAATGTAGTCTGGAATGTCTGCCTCTGCAGGAGTTGTTCGATGTCATCTTGGATGAGAACCAGCTTGAGGATGCCTGTGAGCACCTTGCCGACTATCTGGAGGCCTACTGGAAGGCCACCCATCCTGCCAGCAGCAGCCTCCCCAACCCTCTCCTTAGCCGTACATTAGCCACTTCAAGTCTGCCTCTTAGCCCCACCCTAGCCTCTAATTCACAGGTAAGGGGAGTTTTCATGTATTCCATACATACAGTCTTCATAGAAAACAAGGTTGTCTATGGTGACACCTCTAGGATCCAAGCCCAGTAGCCTCCTTGGGGTTTGTTGCTGTGTACCTGTAAGAAGCGCATCATTGACAGAATATACTGGGAACATACACAGACTATAGAAACTTTCTAAACAGCAGCATAAACTGTGGAAGCGGATTACCTAGATTCAAATCCTGGCTCCACCTCTTACCAGTTCTGGGGTGGATAACCTTAGGCAAGTTTCTTAACTTGCTTAAGAAACTGTTGAAGAAACTGTTTGAAACTGTTTTATTGCCTCAGGATTAATAATGGCAACCTGTCCATGATGCTGCTGGAATTACTAATCTCAAAGGGCTGTTGTGTTAATGAGTTATTGTATGTGAAGGATCAAGAACAATGCCTGTCCCATATTGTATCTTGTAAGCATTTTCCATTTTTAATATTCCTGACATACAGTCAAGCAGAGGTAGTTAAGTTTATACCCCTGTGTAGACAAATAGCAGGGACCTGCATCTGTATTTGAACCACAGGAGAACATATAAAAGAACAACACTTTCCCTGCTTATTTTTAAAAGAAAAAGGTTATCATGAGCACTGTTCTAGGCACTTACAAAGTCCAATTTAATATATTATAAGCCTTATAAATGCTACTGGATGTTACCAAAGGGATTAAGCTAGGTTAGACTTCATTGCAGCTTTTCAGATGCTTAAAAAGGACTCTGCAACATGTTCTGTACACACTGACCTTCGTTAACACTCCGTGTGCTCCTTTGGCTGCCAGGGTTCTCAAGGTGATCAAAGGACTGATCGCTCCGCTCCTATCCGTTCTGCTTCCCAAGCTGAAGAAGAACCTGGCATGGAACCAGTCAAGAAATCCCAGCACCGTTCTTCCTCCTCAGCCCCACACCACAACCATCGCAGTGGGACAAGTCGTGGCCTCTCCAGGCAAGAGACATTTGACTCAGAAACCCAGGAGAGTCGAGACTCAGCCTACGTGGAGCCAAAGGAAGATTATTCCCATGACCACATGGACCACTATGCCTCCCACCGTGACCACAACCACAGAGATGAGACCCATGGGAGCAGTGACCACAGACACAGGGAGTCTCGGCACCGTTGCCGGGACGTGGATCGAGAGCAGGACCACAACGAGTGCAACAAACAGCGCAGCCGTCACAAATCCAAGGATCGCTACTGTGAAAAGGATGGAGAAGTGATATCCAGAAAACGGAACGAGGCTGGGGAGTGGAACAGGGATGTTTACATCCGCCAGTGACTTTTGCCCTCTTGTGTGTGTGTATGTGTGTGTGTGGTTTTTTTTTTTTTTTGGGGTCTACATTGCAATCATATGTGATCTGTCTTGTAATATTTTGTATTGCTGTTGCTTGAATAGCAATAGCATGTATAGAGTATTAAGACACATTTTTTTCTTTTTAAGTGCTACATAAATTGGCCTGGTATGGCTGCAGTTCTCCAGTTGTATACTGGACTCTTCAAAAACTGTTTTGGGTAGCTGCCACTTGAACAAAATCTGTTGCCACCCAGGTGATGTTAGTGTTCTAAGAAATCTAGTTGATGTATCCAACAAGCCAGAATCAGCATAGCTAAAAAGTGGAATTTCTCGTTTATCCAGATTTTTAATATGCAGGCACCTGATTTGCATATTCATTCATGGACCACTGTTTCTTGCTTGTACCTCTGGCTGACTAAATTTGGGAACAGATTCAGTCTTGCCTTACACAAAGGGGATCATAAAGTTAGAATCTATTTTCTATGTACTAGTACTGTGTACTGTATAGACAGTTTGTAAATGTTATTTCTGCAAACACCTTCTTATATATAATATATATATATATATATATATCAGTTTGATCACACTATTTTAGAGTCTTAATGCCAAGTCAGCAGATTTGCTTTATGAATTACAGGGCCTAGAAATGCCCACATTCAGGAAATTTGTAATAACATTGTCTAGACACCTATCCTCATTCTAGTAGAAAGTCTGTACATACTGTAAATATGTGTGATTGCTTGAATTGAAAAGGTTTGAATTCTGAATGTCGTACCATCCTTGTAAGTTTGTAATTTTCACCATAAATTATGGTAAATATAAAACTCCAGAGGTGGTTGTCCTCCCTACAGTTCACACTGATTGTGACACATTCTTAGTAGCTAGTGTCTGTCCTAGTCACTGCACTGGAGTCTATGAGCCGGAACTCGCTATATGCACGTGTGTGTGTCCATATGTAAGAGTGTGCACGAGTGACTGAATGGCTGAGATAAATTGGAATGCTGAAGACTAGTGAAGAAACTAGAGACTGACATCGAGCATTCTGCCCACCTGGCTCTGTATTTACTTGTGCTATATGTGGCTTTAATAACCCATTGAGCAGTCAGGGAATGTGAGTAAGCTTGCTGCCAAAGGTAACTAGGAAAGCATTCATCTGCTGCCTCCTTGTTTTTGCTCCTAGAGAGTAAAAATACAGGCAATTTTACTGTGAGTGTTTCACTGGAAATGTATAATCTTTGTGTGTGAGAGTATTTGTTTGAGTAAGAAACGTTTACACAGCTTGTGGAATTATTTCGTGGGAAAATAAATTTTTATAACTTCTCCCACTTCATCTTCTAACCTTGCCTACTATTCCTGTTGTTTACCTCCCAGTTACCTATCACTCCTCCCTACCACCAACTCCAGCAGGTTCACTGTCTGTCAGAGCCCAGAAGTGCTTCTTATAACCAAAGTTTCTGTTCTTCAGAAGTAATCAGGGCAAAATGGGGTGACTTAAAGTGAATAAAATGTTAGTATTATCCTACATAAGACATCTACTCTGAAGAGGAACCCTGAAGACCTTATCTCCATGCCTCAACTACAGTGCTGTAAGATGCTTACAATGTCATCATGTTTAAGGCTAAGACCGTTTCTATGTCTCAAGTGTGTATTTTGTCCAATTATAACTGGATAAGACAGTATTAAGAGTGCAAGTACCTGGCACTTGAAGTTTGTCCCTGGAAAATGCCTGTCTAAAATTATCTAATTTCACATCTGCACATTACCTTATGTAACAAAATAATCAGCCAGGTGTGGTGGACCATACCTGTAATCCCAACACTTTGGGAGGCCGAGACAGGTGGATCACCTGAGGTCAAGCATTCAAGACCAGCCTGGCCAACGTGATGAAACCCCATGTCTACTAAAAATACAACAGATTAGCAGGGTGTGGTAGGCTGCACACCTATAATCCCAGCTACACGGGAGGCTAAGGCAGGAGAATCACCTGAACCCAGGAGGCAGAGGCTGCAGTAAGCCAAGATCATGCCACTGTACTCCAGCCTGCGTGACAGAATGAGACTCCATCTCAAAACAAAAACCAACTATTTAACAAAATAATAGTTATAAAATAATCTTTGTTTTGCTCCCTTGATTACTCCAAGTTCTTGCCAAATATGCCTACATTTTTATAAGTAAAACCACTTTACATTTAACTCCTTATTTCCCTTACCCCCAAGAAAACTCAGTATTAAAAATGATTAAGCTGGGGTGGTAGAGTGTACCTGTAGACTCAGCTACTTGGGAGGCTGAGGCAGGAGGATCACTTGAGCCCAGGAGGTAGAGGCTGCAGTGAGCCGTGATTATACCACTGCACTCCAGGCTGGTGACAACCTGGTGTCTGAAAAAGAAAATAAAAATTAGTTACATATATGTTTTATCAGCTTATATATAAAAAAATTCCCTCAATTTGTTAATTAGCTCTATACTGTTTACATGAATTTATTTATTGAATATAAAAACAGTCTTAATAAACTTGACAATTCTTACACTGGTAGGAGACCATATTCTAATTAAAATTGCTTTTATAAAATATTTCTGATAAAACTTTTGTCATGGTAAGATATTCACAATTACTAGTTCAATCCTTTACTATTTCATCCCAATTGATTTCAGAATAAATTCTTGAAACATAGCTGGTATTTATCATACTTGCTGCTATCATTAATCCCTTTCAAAGAGTAGTGGTGAGAGTTTCCATCTTTTTTATTTTGTACCTGGATTCTTAGCTTGCACTTTACTGTGGAACCTATTAGTGCACATCAGAATATTTCTCAAAAAACTAGCTTGAAGGATGTGACATAACAGCATCTATATGTGAAAACTGTTTAGTGGGCATATGTGTAAACTGTGTAGTACATTTGTAAATGAAAAAATGATCCCAAGGGCAATGGGATATTTACTGACCTGTGGAATGTAAAATTATAATCTCTTCACACAACAAAGGCTTAATCTTAATAACCTACTCAGTTGTAGAACCATGATTTTTGTAGTCAACCTAGAAAATGCTGGAAATGTATTTAATAGTTCTTTTTTTTGGTCATACCCATTTCAGTCTTTCCTATGCTCTTTCTCCACTGCTCATTTAAGTTACTGTTACAAAAAGGTGCTGCTAAATGTAGGATGTCTTAGTCACGTTGTATTTTGGGACAATGCCACATTTTTAACATGGTCTGCTATGCATTCCTGTTACAGCAACATTCACTGTCAGCTACACTGAACTGTCTAACAAACCTGGTTTAAAGTAATTCATATAAAACAAATAAAGAGCTGGCTTCTGCACTGTTTATCAGTAGTATTAATTGCCATCTCAGGAATGATTGATGTAGTTGAGACTATATTAAATATTCACTTCCCGCCTATGGGGCATCTTTCTTAAGGGCAATGCTAAGCACTTTATGTTCTTTGAGTAATCTTCCTATTACTTCCTATACTTTTAAAAAAAGCGCAAGGTAGATACAATATTTTTTAAAATCTGAGCTGTAGTAGAATAATCTGGGTCCCTGATGGGTTCTGGATCAAGTGTTTAATTTCTGCTACGTTGTACTTTTAACTATGTGTACTTTGCTTCTTTCAACTAAAACATGACGCAGGGTTTTGAAGTAAATGTACTCACTGTTGAACTTAAGAATTTTTTCTGTTTCACAGAAATGTTAATACTAAATGTTAACATACATAGTAATTTTCCTTCACATTTCCCTGATTTTTTCACCTTCTTACTACATTTTTTCCTAGTATTTCTATGTCCCTTAAGATTATGTGATTTTCCAATTTGCGTAAGTTTTTGAAAGGTAGAAACCCACTAAAAATTGGCTATGTTTAAGGAACAATTCTGAACAGTGTTCTTTGTCGTGTTTTCATTATGTAAGTATTTTTCTTCTATTTGCTGGCATTGGTTGTATTTTGATATCTGTTGATATTAATCAAACATCTACATGAGTACAGGTTTGTTGCTACGCTAATTTTCTGCGATTTTCATCGCAGCTTAGCAAATAAGGATTTGCAGCAAGCATGACAGAAAATGATTTTTGTAGAGTTTCTTAAAACACATTTAAAGTTTAAGGAGGTATGCTGAGCCCTGAAAAGATAAGTCACACAGGGCTCTTTAGTGAAATGACATCTACAGGATATAAGGCAGAATGAGGGATGTAAGAGAGACACACGCTTGCTTGCTTGAAGTAATTTTTCTCTCAAACAGTAAGTATCTATTGACTGCTCTGAAGCTGTGATGGAGAGAAAAGGCAGGACAGGGTCTCTGCCTGGAGGATGTTTTTCAAGTGTGGGGGTGAGGCTTCAGCGGCATGGCTAGAATAGTTGAATCAGAGTGTAGTAAGTGCCAGGAGAACATTAGATGTGGGTGCTAGAAGGCAGAGAGAAGGGGAGCAGTACCTATCCAACCTCACGGAAGGGTATTCAAGAAAGACTACTTTAAGGAAGAGGCCATCTAAAGGTCTTACCTGATCCAAGAGACCTTGCAATCCTTATGGATACAATAAATAGTTATGAGAAGGTCCTAAAGAAAACCTGTGAGGGGGGGGAAATGACAAACTATTAGGCAATTGTCCACTTCCTATACCCAAGGTCTGATAACTTTTGGGTGATTTGAATAAAAGCTAACAGTATGATGGATTTACCACCACATGAAACAGCCTTAAAACTATGGCTGGGTACTGAGTATTCTGATTGATCTAAAAAGCCAATAGAAAAGCAAAATCCTAAGGCTGTAGTTAATTTTTTTAAAAACACAGGCTGGGTGCAGCGGCTAACATCTGTAATCCCAGTGCTTTGGAAGGCCAAGGTGGGGGGACTGCTTTAGGCCAGGAGTTCAAGAGCAGCCTGAGTAAAACAGCAAATTCCCACCTCTTAAAAAAGAAAAAAAAAAAAAAATTAGCCAAGCATCCTGTGTTGTCCTAGCTACATGGGAGGCTGAGGCAGGAAGATTGCTTTAGCCCAGGAGTTTGAGGTTGCAGTGAGCTATGAAATCATGCCACTGCACTCTAGCCTGGGTGGTGGAGCAAGACCTTGTCTTTAAAAAGTAAAATTAAATTGAAAAGCAGTCACTTACATTGGCCACTACAGTGGGATGCTTGGATATTTTTGCAGTTCGAAGGATGATCTGTTTTTTTGTCTGAGTCCAGACTTGACTGTGGTCTTTGTTGTCTGGATCTATGATAGGTCCAGCTGCCTTGTCTGCTGTTGGTGTTAAGTGAAATGTTTATGTTCAACAGGAGAACACAAAGCCCAGCTATAAGAGTCAGGCCAGGCCACTTCCCAGGGCCAGAGCTGGCTTTTTCTTTCTCACCAAGCAGTTTCTAATAACTTACATGTTTCAAATACATAATTTACCCAAACTGCAGAATAATCTCATTTTCTAAATCTACAAAGTAAATACCCATTTTACTTTGTTTAAAATTATAAAAAACATTAAACATAGACTATCATTTTAGACTATGATAGTCTAGCACACTATCATTTAGAGGAGGCCCAGACTTCGTTCCAAACGGGTTGACTTACCAAATAAGCAGATAGAAAGTCAGGTAAAATATTTACCTCCAGTATTGACACATAGTAAATGTTTTATTTCTCATGCCCTGAGTTCTTAAGAAACTACTATTTAGGATCCTGGGAACAAAAACCACTTTTTATAACCACATCAAATATTGCTAATTTATTTCTTTTGTTAGATTCACTGATTTTTAACATTAAAAATGACTTATATTCTTTACAAATTAAAACATTAGGTCGCAAATGAAAATATGCTCCAGACATCTACAGGTTTCTCCTTTTCTTTATACTCTACTAAATACATAAAAAAATTCTTTTAAAAATAAAAAATATAGTCTCATACCACCCTCTACTTCCTCTATGTCTCTGGATCCCTGGCAAAACAGCTGGCAGCCTTTTCTGTTTCCTTAGCAACCATGTCATCATTCAGTTGGCCTGACAACACTTTGGTTTAAAAAAAAAAAAAACAAACCACATATAGCAAATGTTTGGAATTTTCATTTCTGAGGATCCATCCTCTCCTAAGTGCTTTTGCTTTTTACAAATTTTGCAATGAAAAAACCTATAGAGTCCTTATTAGCCAGCCGCAACATGTCTTCTCTTCTGGTCTCTCTCAGAGAGTCTATGTCAGTGTCTGGTAATGGCACAGCCGATGGATCAAATCGCTGCAGCTGCTTCAATTGTTCACAAGAGAGGCCAGCTCCCCTCATTCCTTCTCCTCCAATCTGTGGTTTCTGTTTGGAGAAAGTCAATCAATATGGATGAACATCCTGTAATTAGCAAGTATGCCTGCTACA